CAAAGTGGAAGCCATACAAAAATGGCCACAGCCCCTTACAAAAAAACAAGTTAAGGCATTTTAGGGTTTAATTGGATACTGTAGATGATTCATCCCAGATTTTGCTACCATTGCTGCACCTCTAACAGACCTTGTTATAGTTAAATGGTGCCCTGAGGCAGAAAAGGCTTTTAAGAGTCTGAAGGAAGCTATCTGTAGCCATCCTGTCTTGGTGACCCCAGATTTTTCCAGGGACTTTATAGTTCAGACAGATGCTTCTGATGTGGGCTTGTGGGCTGTTCTTTCACAGGAATACCAAGGTGAGGAACACCCTGTTTTCTTTTTGAGCAGGAAATTAAACCCACATGAGAACTACTACTCTATTGTTGAAAAAGAGTGTCTTGCTATTAAGTGGGCATTAGACTCTCTTAAATACTACCTACTAGACAGGAAGTTCCGATTGATAACGGACCATGCACCTCTGACATGTATGTATCAGAACAAAGAAAATAACTGCAGAGTAACCAGATGGGTTTTGAGTTTACAATCTTTTAATTTCACTGTCGAACACAGGGCTGGTCTAAAACAAGGAAATGCTGATGGGCTTTCCAGGGTACACTCTCTGGTTTCCATGGTCACTCAAACCCATGGGTATGAGCTGGGGGGGAGGATATGTGAGCGAAAAAGTGGAATAGTGGTTGATGGAAGATACATCAGGCCTGATTTGCTAAACAGGAACCTGAGAATTTTCAGTTAAATGCCCCTGGGGCAGAGTATTTGGAGAGCAGGGTGGGCCAATGCTCCAACAGCACTAGTCGATGTGTAACAGATCAGAATTTGGATTTGACTTAAGAGTTTACTAATTGGCACTCACCTGTAGCTAGTCAATTAGCAGACAGGCCTTTAAAAGAAGAGATCAGCCTGCTGCAGAGTGAGGGAGAAAAAGCCAGCTAGGAGAGCTGAAGGAGAGAGAACAACACGTGTGTTTATTGCAAAGCTATTTTCGTTTTCTTTGGAAAATTGGTAAGTGGGAAAGCCACCCAGTTACAGATAGTGATTTCTATCTAGTAAGAGTTCAAGTAAGAGCAAGGAATTTTGTTTTGTTTATTATTTAAAGCAGCTGTTTTTCCTATCAAATAAAGGAAAACCGAACTGAATGTGTCCTGGACTTTGTATACCCTAGAAGGCTGTGGTTTATTGTAAGATCTGTGACAAAATCCTACCTGTAAAAGAGGTGGCTTGTTAATACATATATATTTGTGGTCGGAACTTAATTCGTATATGAAAATAGAGAAGAGGAGGAAAGTTGGTAGTGGTGTGCCGACACCAATGTACGGGTAGGCCTGTAATAAAGAGGGCAGAAGGTATTGCAGAAAACACACTTTATTCATAATTTACAATACTAGACCTTTAAAGACTTTACTGATTTATTTTTTTTCTCAGGATGTGGAATATAAGTGCTGTAAACAGAGGATTTCCATCTGCCCAGTCTTTTGATGATATGGGCTGGTATGTCCATGGTGAAGGCTAAGGAGGCTGCCCCAATTCTGAAGGAATGACCAGAAAAAGCAGCCAAATTATGTCCCAATCTTAGCAGTAGTGTTCTAACATGGGCTATGAATTTTGAAGTGGAAAGTGCCCATGAAGAAGTAGTAGGGGCAAGTTAGATGGGAGACTGAAGCTTGTAGATAGAAATAAGTCCAGTATTTTAACAGGACACCACAGGTTCTCTGTAGGAAACAGAGGGATTGTAGTTGGGTAGTTTGTGTGATTGGTTTTAGATGAGTGTAAAGACATCACGTAATGGTCACCGTGTTTGGTTATGTCTGATAGTTTTAAACAGGAGCTGACATCCGTTTGACGGACCACAGTAAACTTTAGGGGTCTGAGAAAGCCGTAGAAAGCGAGGTAAATGGCTACTTTGATTACAGATGTAGTCTGGGTATTAAAGGGATTTGTGCAATAGGTTTGACATGTTCCTGAATATGGTTCCGTCTATGGGTAATCTATTGGTAGCTGGAGGTCGATCTATTTTGTTGATGCCTTTGAGAAAAGGTTTGATGGGGTATGTGGAAAGAAAAGGTGGGTGATTGGGAAAGGTAGTGAGGACATAGTGCTGTAAACCTGTAAGATATAATTTAATAGTGTTACATGCTAATTTTAGGTTTCGGTGGCAAAAGGAGGCAAAAGCCACCATGGTTTCGAAAGAATAATTATCTGAAACGTGGAACTCCCAACAAAATTTGTGGAACACTGTCAAAGCACTGTCGTAGGCTGTTTTGGTTTTGGTAGACAGAGCGTTTCGTGAGAGTGACTGTGCGTGGGTCAACAATCTTGTCAATCCATTGTTAGCTCTGGAAATTTCGATATTCTGGATGGGAGCAACTTGGTAAAGGGATGCACTTTGTAGAATGCCTGAAGGTTAGATGAGACAAAGCGTCAGCCGCCGTATTATTGATGCCTGGAATGTGTTTGCATGCTATAAAGAACTGTAGTTTGGTTGGCCAGCCACGTCAATATCTGTATTAACCGCATAATGGTTGAGGAGGAAGAGCGCCCTTTTTAATGATTACGCAAGATGCCAAATCTGAGAAACACTTGACTGGCTTACCGGTCCACAGATGAACCGAAGTATGGGCTGCTGCTACGATGAAATAGATCTCAAAAAAGCAGACGTTTCCCTAAAGGCAGGTAAGGCAAGTGCTTCTTGTGGCCACATGTCCATGAACCGGTAATTACCAAAGCACAAGTGGGCTGCTGCAACGGTCCCAATAACAGGAGAGTGCTTGGTCAGTGGGGGAATGAACATGGAGATGCTGTTCCACTCTGCTGGGACGTGCTTCCACATGATTAAATAGGCTATGGCTGGTGGATTGAGGACTTCAGGCACGCCGGGTAAGAGTTAGTATAGCCTGGAAATGCAGGATCTCCCTTGTGGAATGATACGCATCGCAAAAATTAGATATCACAGTAAAGATTGGGGGTCCCTCCGAGTACCAGTACCTTTGGAGGAACTGGTCCAGTTCTTGTCTGATGCGTACCAACTTCACAACAGGGAGGCGTTCCTGACTGGACAATGAGTCAAGTTGGATACCAAATGTGTTGTGGACCTGTTGTATGACAGGGGACAATGGGGCACCTACTGACGAAACCAGTGCAGTGGAGCTAATGATGGAGGGATCCTGCCTCGACCAGTAAACTTCGACCAATTGTGTATGGTGGTGGGCATATGGCCATCTGACCGTATTCAGGAGCAGCCAGTTAAGAGTTTCTGCAAATATAACGAACAGCTTCGGGCTGCTCCTGGAGCTGAAACATGAGTCTGGTGGTGAAGTAATAATTATCCCGCCATTTAATGCCATGGGTATGCCAGAGAGACGGGTGGATCGGTAGTAATCTGAAGGCGTTAATTGTATTTGTCTTACTGAGCCAGGCTTGTCGGCCAGTAGTATTGTTTGTTATGGCATGATCCATGGAGGCATAATGGAGAGAGAATATTTCTGCCAGTATTAATGAAGTTTAAACTAGGATTTCTGGAGAATGAGGTGCTGACAAATCAATAATCAAAATATTTTTAGATGTGCTGTTGGTAACCCTACCAATAGGGTTAGTGCGCCATGTAGAAACAGGAAGGTGTGGAAAAGCTTGATGTGGTCTCTCTCCGCAGCAACTTGTCAATGGCAGGTGGGTAGTTGTAGCAGAGAATAAGTTAGGACATTCCACTGCCTGTTGGGAGTGCTACTAACCCTGTGTGGAAAACCCACAGACAAACCAAAAATCAAATATTGCACCAGATGAGGGGAGGGGTGGGTGCGGAAATGCTAAACTAAGGTGTCAGTGTTTTTCCTCAGACAGTCATTTCCTAGGCAAAAGCTTAGAAGGGCACATGGCTTTTGTATGTGCCCTCAAGCAGATGGAGCAAACATGCAACAACCTGCAGGCATTGTAGTTACCAAGGAATACTACTGGTCTACCCAGCTTATCTCTCTGTCCCCTATCCTGACTGACTGAGGGGTTGGAGGATGGGTAGGAAGTGGAGGGCTGAGATGTAGAGTGTTCTGCTTCACAGGGACACGAGGTAGAGGAGCAAACTGCACAAGACAGGGGTCTCAAGCCGGAAGAGCTCTGTGTCCAACTGATTCCAATCAATGCGAGTGTTGGACTGGGCCAGAGCCGCTGCTGCCTTAGATGAAATTGACCTGTGATAATCATAGAAGGCGAAACCCCCTTACTTGTGCCCCAAGTCCACCACCTTGTGTAGATAGAGGTCAAATTCCTCTCGCCTCTGAGGATATACAGAGCAGATGACGTCCCTATATAGTCTGAAGCCGAGAATGAATTCGGGGATGGAGAGCTATTTATTGAGACGTGGGTCCCTAGTTTTGAGGATCACAGACATGTCTCCAAAACTAAAAGCTCTATTTTCTAGAATATCCTGAGAAGCTATTAGGAGAGAGACTAGACTAACATCCTTGCCATCCAGAATGTCTTTCCTAATGGAAGCTGGAATGGGATTTACAGGGTTGATGCTGTGTGAAGTAGAAGGAGTGATAGTAATTTCCCTACCTTGCGTGTTTGAAGGTGCAGGTGCTGGGCCTGGAGTGTGAGGTGCATGGTAACCATAGGGATTATGGTTTCTATCTTGGTCATTCTCTCGTTAAGTGACTGAAGGGTGGACAAGATTGATGACAAAGTGTCTTGAAACTGTCCTGAACGTCTGACATTAGGCTCCTGAGAACTTGTGCCGGGCCTGGGATCGTTGGACTGGACCGTTAACAACTTGGAGTTCTGGGGCGTGTTTCCGGCTCTGTCCAAGATGGTCGCATAAGGGGTGAGCTCCGCTCCACTGGACCCCAACAAAGCATTACTATCGCAATAAACTCAGCTTAATGGGGCGCACCAGATGCCCAGAGCAACCCCAGACCTCGAAGAACCCCCAGCAGGGCCCGCTGGACGGGTTGTTACAGCCGCAGCCCGGAGCGAGCAGGGACTCAGCCAACCCCAAAATGGCATTGACATCCATGCCGGGGCTGGAGATACCGGCCCTAGATAGAATTGAAAACAAACTGCGAGACCTGATGACCTCCATGGCCACAAGAACCGACCTCCAGACCCTGACTGCCACCAATCAGGAAACGCTGCGGACGGGGGTGGCGGGGATCCGCGCAGAGATAACCGCGCAAGCGGGCCGTATCACCACGACGGAAGAGGCAACTGCGGCCCTCAAGACCTGCATGGCATCCACTGACACAGCGGTGCACGCCAGGGCAAAATGCTGCTCTCCATACGCCGTCACCGGGAAGATGTGGATAACCGGGGCAGGAGATGCAACATCCACGTCCGCGAAGTGCCAGAAGCCGAAGGGACGGAAAATGTTGAAGAGGTACTCACAGTGCTTTTCCAATCCCTCTTACAGTTGCCTCAGCCACGCCATATAGAGTTTGAGAGGGCACACAGAGCCCTACGGCCCCGAACTATAGAAGACGGGCCGCGGGATCTCATTTGCTGCCTACACTCCTTCCCAGTGAAGAACGCCATTATGGCGAAGGCACGAGAACAAATGACATGGTCCTTCAGAGGGACACAGGTCTCACTGTATAATGACCTGTCCCCCATTACATTAGAGGCTAGACGTGCACTTCGCCCAGTAACAGCGATACTGAGGGACCACAATATAACATACAAATGGGGATTCCCCTTTGCTTTGGTGGCCAGACATCACAATAGCTGGATCACCATGAGATGGCCGGAAGAGGTGCCACGGTTTATGGGAGTACTGGGACTCCCCTCACCGTCATTCCCCAACTGGATCCTGGGATCGCTGGGCCCACCACCAAGACCACAGAGAGGATCTAGACGACAAAACACGAGATCACAGCCGGTACGACACTCTGGGCAGCGCGGAGATCCGAGTTTCCCAGAGGAATAATTGCATTAACTCACCCGCGACGACTACCACCAATCTGAGCTCCTTAGCTGTCCATCCAACCCGATTCCCAGCGGAACCGACATCGACCCTGGCGAGTCAGACCCCCACGAATGGTCACCTGCATATTATGCCTACTCCAGATGAACGGGTCGGGTGTATGGTACACCAACAGGTACTCTGGGATACCATACGAGGGCTTTGGGAGGTGGCAACACGGATCCACAGATACGTGGGGGGAGACCACACACCTATGGAACTTACGCCCCTGGCCTATTATCAACTTCCTACTACCTGTGTCCCGGGCTCTATCTATCTCTGGGGGGCTAACAAACACCGACCTGGGACGGGGGATAAAGGGGGAATAGCACGGGGAAAGCTCAACGGCCCCTTTGGGCCCCAAAGATCTACCCAGAGACTTTGGGCTTAAATCCCGCATTCTGGACGCTTTATGTCTGATGCTGATATGAACTCAATCCTAGCTGCACGGAACACGTTTACTGGAGCACAAAGGCTCTAAAACGCTGAGAGAGAGGTGGGGGGGGGAAGGGGTCATGATTATTAAATCTGGAGATATGTAACCCCTAATGCAACGTGTCCCCCACCCACCACAATGCCCTGACCCACAGCTCAAGTTTAATGTTTGATAGATATGTACGACTATATCTCTTGATTTACATGCTCAGGAGTGGGACGTGGAATCATACTAGTAGAGCTTGTGCTGGACCCCACTATATTATACTATCTCGTATTGCTGGCTTGTCAGCTCAGGCTTGTTGACTTAAAGCGAAACTCTGACACCCTGCACGACCCTTGTCTCACCGACAGTCGTCACCTACACACGTACAGCTAGACGCAAGACTGGGCATACGTACGACGCTTACCCTCATTGACACTTCATTGTCTGGTCATAGTCCTACTCCCCAAAATAACGCCCGCCTCGCTGACACGCACACATTCATGACTTCACCCATGCGCACACATTCCACAGAGACCGACAAGGGTGCTGTGTAGAGGCCACAAGCACATAACACTACTGAGTGACAAACCTGGTTAATAGCAGCTCGACCCTGGGAGATAGAGGGAAGGCATACGATGACATAAGGGACCACAGACCGGGGTACTACACCACCATTAGGCCACGGGGGAAAAAAAACACCAACTAACATGACCGAGGGGTTGGAGGGAACAGACCGGAGCGTGCTGTGGCTGGACGGGAGGCTACAGAGGGGAAAAAAGGTACTCTGGAACAGAAATGCTGTGATAAGGTTACTGAAATTGTTATATGATATACTGCAGTTAACGCAAGCTATGCCTTAAAGTGAATGCGCTCTCTCTCTCTCTCTCTCTCTCTCTCTCTCTCTATATATATATATATATATATATGTTGCTCTTGTTAATTTAGTTATGATGCTGAGGGGTGGGATGGAGCGGAAGGTTCCACATCTAACTTTGATCTCTTACTTGGGCGGAGCGCTACCCAACTACGAACACTCGTGCTGAGAGCTGAGTGACCAGGCCGTGGGTACCCTCGACTCCTGGGCAGGCACTGGAACGAGCCTCTACTGGCGCTGGTCACGGCACGAGACCCCCCTCCCTTTCTCGAGGGGGTTCGGATCCGGAAAGTTTCCGGAAACAGTGAGGTCACCTTCATACAGGGCACACAGCTTCTTTTAAATACCACACCACTTAGCTGGCAACGTCTCCCAGGACCCCGGGCCTCGGTTCTCCTTTTCATACCTCCTGCTACAAATTTCCTCTCCCTCCTGGCTCTTTCCCCTTCTTTCCCCACTCCCATCTTTTTTCTTCTCTCTCTTCGCCCCCCCCCTCCCCACCCTGTGCTGACCAGTGACGTGGACACGTGACCTCCCCAGAATCACCGGAAGACAGAGGAAGTTCTAGACCTCATAAGAACCCTGAGTCACATACCACATACGTGGAAAGTATGACATACCGAAGCACACCCTTGAAGATTATCACGCAAAACTGCAGAGGTCTTAACATCCCTGAACGCAGGACACACCTGCTAAGGGAATTGAAGAAAAAACGTGTGGCTGTAACTATGCTGCAGGAGACACACTTCCAAGAAGGGAAATCCCCTAAACTGCAAAATAGACATTACCCAAATAACTACTTCTGCAATCATCCAACGGCCCATAAATCCGGAGTGGCCATAAAATTAGCAGCTGAACTAGAATTTAGAGAATTAGAACGTGTACAGGAAGATATCTATTCCTCAAGGGCATCATAGCGGATAGGATATATACAATAGCAACTATTTACATGCCCAACCGAAGGCAAGCCCCCTTTCTCCGAAACACCCTGCATCAACTGGAAGAATTTACAGATAGGATACTACTGATAGGAGGTGACTTTAATGCCCCGCTTGACCCAACACTAGACTCATCTACGGGTCATAGTTGTCTCCCGCAGCATAGCATCAGATCCATCCTGCAGTCGATCGAGTCCTTGAGACTGGTAGATTGCAGGAGAACCCTTCACCCTATGGCAGGGCTGTCCAACCTGCGTCCCCCCAAATGTTGTTGAACTAAAACTCCCACTCCCATGATTCTTTCAATGAAACAGATAGCGAGGGAATCATGGGAGTTGTAGTTCAGCAACATCTGGGTGGCCGCAGGTTGGACAGCACTGCCATACGGTAAAGGACTTCACTTACTACTCTGCTCTCCACAATCGCTATTCTCGCATAAATTACCTCTTCATAACGCAGGAAGGTCTCTCCCGCCTACTCAAAGCTGAGATCACACCGGCTACATGTTCGGACCACGGTTCAGTTGAGATGGAACTGGAGTCTCCACTGTTCAGACCAGTATCTTGGACCTGGAGACTTAATGAGGCATTGTTACTAGACCCTGATACCAAAGACCAAATTAATCAGGCGTTGGAGCATTACTTCAGAGAAAATGACACCTCGGGGACTTCCCTGATATCTATATGGGAAGCTCACAAGAGTGTTATACGCATTGCCTCGCAGAAACGGAAGGCGATTATGCTTGAGATGGTCGATCTATATCACTCAATCTCAACCCTTGAGCGTCAACATAAGCGATCCCAGCTAAATGAAGTCTACTGAGAATTAATGGAACACAGAAAAAAACTCAAAGACCTCATTACGAGAAGACATTTCCGAACCATACAGCGCACGAAAGGCTTCTACTATGTACACGCTAACAAGGGAGTTAAAATACCTAGCGAGACTACTGAAAGGCCCCATGCCCCGTAAGAAAATACGTAAAATACGTCTAGCCTTGGGGGAGGTAACCCCCTTCCCACAGAAGATCGCGGAGGAGTTTAGGACTTTCTACGAGAACCTCTACAACCTGACGGGTATATCGGGACCACGAGTGACCACACGAGGATACAGGATTACCTGTCCGACACAATCATAAGATCGACCAGGACTCAGCGTCAACCCTGGACTTGCCAATCAGTACAGAGGAACTAGCAGTGGCCCTTAAAGCATCCAAAACTGGTAAGGCTCCCGGCCCAGACGGCTTCTCCACGGGATATTATAAAAACTTCTCGGGAGTATTACTGCCGTGGCTGACCAAAGCGTTCAACGTCCTCGGGGAAGGAGGAACCCTGGGACCGGAATCACTGGCAGCTACCATCATAGTTCTACTTAAACCGGGGAAGGACACGTTACTATGCGGGAGTTACCGACCCATCTCGCTGCTGAATATTGATGCCAAACTATTTACGAAAGTCCTGGCAACCAGACTTAATCACCTTCTTCCAGACTTAATCCACGAGGACCAGACGGGATTCATCCCAGGCCGAGAGGCCAGAGATAGTACCTTACGACTCTTCTCAATCCAACATCACGCGAGGAAAACGGGGACCCGGTTGCGGAAAAGGCCTTTGACCGGATCAATTGGACGTATATGTTAGCGACATTGAGGCAGCTGGGATGCGGTTAAAGACTCCTCACATGGATATCTGCTCTGTATAATAAGCCGCACGCCTCCGTGAGGGTTAACGGGGCCATGACTGCTGACTTCGCGATCAGTAATGGAACCCGACAGGGTTGCCCACTCTCACCGTTGCTGTTCGCGATGACCCTGGAGCTTGTTACAGGCAACCCCAGAACCATGTTACTGTGTCTCCTCTCGGAATTTGATAAATTTGGACAGATATCCGGATTTAAACTTAACATCTCCAAATGTGAGGTCATGAACATCACACTCCCCACAGAGAAATTCCTGTCTCTAGAGTCGCAATTCGCGTTTCACTGGTGCCACGGCAAGATGAAATACCTAGGCATATGGGTGACCATGGACTCAGGGCATATATTACGACACAACTTTACGCCCCTACTGAAAACCATCCTCGTTGACTTGTCCAGGTGCTCATACCCACATGTGACCTGGCACAGAAGAATCGCAGTGATTAAAATGAATATACTCCCAAGGATCCTGTATCTCATGCAGACCATACCACTCGCTATACCGACGACTTTCTTCTCCGCCCTGAAAACGGCGGTGTCTAGATTTGTATGGCAGGGAGAACGAGCTAGGATTCGACATGACGTCCTGTGCCGACCAAAAAATTATGGAGGACTGGCGCTGCCGGACTTTAAGAAGTATCACCAAGGCGCGGTTATGCAATGTATACTGGACTGGCACTTGGTACCAATGACCAAACAATGGGTGAAACTTGATAGAGACCTCATTGGACCAACACTGGAGGCAAGGATCTGGGGGAAACCTGGGGGACAAACAAACCTTAGTGACAACAAGGGGATGGTCCTACAGACCTTACATAGCTGAAAGACATTCAGGCTGCAGGCCCACATATCACCCACACCCAGCCCAATGATGCTGATTGCGCATAACGAGGCCATAGGAGGAGGACTCCCCTCAGGAGCATGGCCCATCCCGAGTACCTGATCATACACAAAGCCCTAACGGATGGAAGACTGCGAGATCTACCTTCACTGCTGGGAGACAGACCACGAACTCCTCTCTCCCTACTCAGATACCTACAACTGAAAAATTTCTATGACGCACTGTCACACAAAGATCGATTACACAGAGACCTTACGTGGTTTGAAATCCTTTGCGAGCGAGGAACACCAATAGAACACACAATTTCAGCACTTTATCAACACCTGATGACCGGCGACATACCTACAGCCACAAAGTTCAAACGTCAATGGGAGGAACAACTCGGAAAACCACTTACAACTCAGCAATGGGATAAAGCAATGATATGGCATCATAAGAGTTCTATGTGCTCCTCTTACCAGGAAATGAACTACAAATTGCTCTCCCTCTAGTACAGAACACCATCCCTACTACACTGCATCTTTCCATCGATTCCCTCGGTGTGCTGGAGGTGCCATGCAGAACACGGCACGGTGCTACACATATGGTGGGAGTGCAGAGATATCATCCTTTATTGGGAAATGGTTAGGGAAACGGTGACACTTATCTTGGGAGACATACCGGAGTGGGACGCGGAATTGGCACTACTACACATCTCGACACAACCTATACCGTCATATAAGAAAGCGATACTGCGACACCTGCTCAATGCGGCCAAAGCCAACATACCAGCTCTCTGGAAAAAGAGTGAAGCACCAACTAAAAAGGAGTGGATTTGCAGGGTAGAATATATTTAGGGAGCGGAGGAAATACATGCCTCCCTGACAGGACGAGGAACCAGGCACGCTGAGATGTGGATGCCGTGGTTCTTATATATCAACCGTTACCGGCGGGAAGGAGACGCACTTGGCGTCAGGGCGGGGGCGGCAGCAGATGTGAACCCCACTTAATTTAAACCACAACCCTTATACTTTCACTGCTTATCTTCTTTTGCTCTTAATCCTTCCTTTACCCTTTCCTGCTAGGCTATCGGGATCTGGGGGAACGGGTCTAGACGGGCCAACCATGAGACAAACACTCAATATAAAATAAACGAGGAGTATCCAAAATAAACAAACTGTAAGGAGAGCATGGGTAACGATGAAAAACGATGACACCCACCCAGCGACATGGAAACCCAAGACATTCCAGGACCTGGATACCAGGCACCTGGCAGAGAAGTTAGCAAAAACATAAAAAATGCATGAACCTTAGATAAACATACTTCCCATCATGCTCACACACCCAGTGAGAGACCTAACTTCGACTGATCGTGAAGACCTCACACATAGTAACTGATAATAAAGAATAGAACACTTTAGGGGAGGCAAATTGAGACCCAAGCAACACTCGAGCTCCATCATAAGTAAATTAAATACTAATATCGCTTAAATAGGAATAATCAGGGGCAGACTGCTGACCCCCACAAGGTAGAATAACTAATAAAGAACGTAGACCCCTCAGTCAACAGACACGGGAGGGGAATTTGCCCCGAGCAGTAAACATCAGCTTGTATAGCACATGGGAAATTCCACACTAGATTGAAAGCGTGAGACCAAGCAATAAACATTCCCACACTCCTTCACCGTTACATTAGAAATGAAACCCACCAAGTTAAACATCGACCTAAAACTAAACACTCAAATACATCGAGCTGAGGAAACCTCTGGCCCATGGTCTCGTATAAATATGCTTTCAGAAATATTGTGCCTCCCCACCTCCCATAGTCGAATACTCATAGAGTGAGGAATATAGCGCTCAAGGGAAGGATTCAGTGTTATAAAGGGGTAAAGTTGTATGATCCCTAAAGTAAGGGGAAGTTATCCATCTACACACATCCATGGAATTGGAAATGGACCTGCGAGTCCCATCACTAAATAGGCCTGCGAGATGATAAGCCTACAAGTTACATGACTCTCACTTGAACTGCTTGTTGTTAATATTATTGACTCACGATTGTTGTATCAATGTAAGGATCTGCGAATCCTACCATATACTATGAAAAATCACAAATAAATAAAAAACATATTTCCAAAAAAAAAACCTTGGAGTCCTGCTTTCCTAGCTGTGGCTGGGAAAGGAACGTTCCTACGGCGTAGTTCTGCTGCCATTTAGGGATGGTCCAAGATCTCAGAGACCCAGGGGTAGTAGTTACGAGAGATACGGCTGGTGAGATAGGTCTAATAGGTGTACTGGGCCCGAGGGGAGAGCCCTGGAGAGACCAGTTATTTTCATGGAGTGATTCTTGCCACATCCTATGAAGAGATTATTAAATACAAAATTTTGAGCCAAAGGTGAAATAGAACTCTCTTGCTAGCTAGTATCACTGGCGAAGAACTAACTAACCATGATAGGTGAATCCCTG